CTCTTCTCTTCATGGAACGTAGCTCAGACCAACAGCCCAGCAGCACGTTATGGTTAAAGGCGAGCAGGTGTTGCCTACCCCGCAGGCGTTTCCCTGGGCGGGGGGGGGCTTGTGAGCACCAAAGAGGGGCGTCTGGTCTGTGACGCCTAGGGAATTTTAATCCCTCAACAAATTTCAATCGAAACTACCATTATTTGATCCTTTGAGTCAGCAAAGTTCCAATAATCGCAAAGCCCGGAAGAAAAATAGGACCAGATACGCAAATTGCTGTACAGCTCCATTTGTCTAGGTACTTCCGCTTCCAATCTGGCAACCTGCCAGCATGCGGTTAGGCCCTAGCTACGCCGCGCTAGCTCGCGTATTCCTCTGTCGGCCCCCGCGCACACACGCACACCAACCTCCCTAACCAACTACCCCACAGCGGGGGGGGGGGGGGGGGCTCGCCGGATTTTGACTGTTAACACAACTTAGCCGTGTGAAGAGTAAATTAGAAGTCGCCACCTTGCCGAATCTACGACATACATCTTCATTCTACACTGTTGTCATCATTTGCTCTAATGACCCAACAACAATGCATTTATTTTCCTGTTGCCCCCCCTCCTTCTCCACACACATTCAGTTGTGGGACAGGAGTTCGTGCCGCTCCACTCGTGGTGGTCCTCACGGCGTGCGACGCCACGCCGCATCGCCACCTGCCACTTACCGGTCCGCGACCAGGGCTGTGATTTTCTTGCTCGGTGGCGGGGCGCGCTCACAGGCAGGCCTACAGGCAGGCCCACAGGCAGGCTCACAGGCAGGCCTAGAGGCAAGCGGCGCGGTCTTCCACGCTATACAGATGCCCTGCAGCCGCAGGTGCCGGCGCAGAGACCCTCCTCCAGGAGCAGCGGATGTCGCAGCCGAGCTCACCGCTCTCAGTAGGTCGGCTCTCTGACTACTTATGCGGCAGAGGGGCAGATCTCCACTCACCCCACCAAACACTCATTGCGGGGCGTGGCGGGGCGTGGCGGGGCGTGGCGGGATGTGGCGGGGCGTGGCGGGGCGCGGCGGGGCGCGGCAGAGGGCGGCGGTGACATGTCACATCGTCTTGATAAGTTAAAGCCCCCCTGGGAACATCGACGCCGTTCGAGTTGCCCTTTGTTCTTGGGGGCGGACGCAGGGGAGGCTGGGAGGGGGGGGGGCGTTTACTTGCCTTACAGTTAAGGTGATCTGGAGAGGCAAGAAGAGTGTAAAAAATACGCCGTATGTACCTTCTTCGCCTCTTCGCAAGCGCCCGGCTTATCTCGTTCCCGGCGCATTACCCCCTCCACTCCTCTGGCCCGACCGCTTCGGCGAGCGACTTCGAATTTCGCGCGCGCGTTCTTTCGTTGTGGAGCGGGCGTGCCAACCTGCAGTCGCTGCAGATGCAGCGTGGAGCCTGGGATTTGGCCGTCAGTTCTAATATTAAACGATCCTTTCTCACGCGCTTAATACAAAATTTTCGTTATTGTCTAATTTTTCTTCCTTCAGTTACGGCTGGAGGAACAACGTACCAGGCGACATCGATAGCTTCATATGGCATGTTTGTTTATTTCGGATAGGCAGGCACACACACACACACCAGAAGACAGTTGTGATTGTGTGTGTGTGTGTTGTCAACTGAAATTTATGTGTTAAATTTTGCTTGCCGAAAACATGACTGTTCGTGTTTACTCTGTCTGTAGTAAATGTAAGTTAATGCTCTTTTTATCAAAAGTATCAAAACTATCTAGGCAGCAACCGTTATCCCAAATAAAGTGCTGTATCGTGGCTGTATGAAGAACATATACGTGGTTGTCTGCTTGCCAAATGCTTAGTTTGACCCTGACGGCCGCAACTGGCCGCAATGACATTGTGTTTGCTATCTATGACCTTTTAATTGACAATTTTGACGTACGTTTCCATCTACGTGGATCGATCACTTCGAATCCCACTTTGATCTATTTGTATGTCAATAGCCATCTGCCATCCAAACGATGTCACCTAACCTCTCCTGTCCGCTCTAGTTACAGCGGTAGTCCTAAATTCTTGTGTAATTACGTGAAATTACACAATGATTGAAATAATTTTTCTATTATCAGAATCGCTAATCTTTATGTGCTTGTATCCGGAATAGTGTGCTCTATACTGATTGCTCTGCCTTATCAATAAAGCAACCCTTATATCTTATCTTTACCCAACGTATCTTAATTTCAGGAGAGACAATTCAGTCCAGCTCACATGTCAACCTGGTCCACAAGCTCAGGCCGGCGCACAGTATTTGCCCCTGGTGAGACGCCCCACTTACTTGGACAAAATTTTTCGTGGGAAAGAGATCCCTACCATTACGCCATCCCAACGGTAAGTGATTGTTTAACCCATGGATTATTTATATGTTGGTTGTTCTAGAGCTTTGTGTCCCAGAGTTTCCCTTTCATAATCTTTTAAATATCCAAATTGCACTAAATCAGTAAGACCAATTTTTTATATTGATATCTACTGAACACCCTTTGTTTCTCTCTTTGCAATATGATTCTTCGTGCCTCACTTGTTGCAGTCTTATAAAATTACCTATTCTTTCTGAGAACCCATTCTGAGCTTCTTTGTGGTCAAAGTTCAAGAGTCACGTGCTTATTGTGTCCGGGAGGGGACGTGAAGCTCTCTGCGAAGTTTTGCTGTTCGTACTCTCCCTCTCAGCTAATGGAGGTTGGGGTGCAATGTACTTCGGGTTCTCATTGGCATGTTACTCTTCGGCATGCCTCTAGAACTGCATGGCCAGACAAGGAATAGGACTCCTGCAGGCAAAATGACTTAGGGACATTTCATTTATGTTGACCGTTGTGTTTCTCTCCTGCATGATCAACGATAAGTTGTCGATCTAGTTACTACACAGATCGTCCCGTCTTGGCCCACTTCAGATTTCACTCAACCCTCAACCCTCGCCTCTCGCCCACCGTCTCGTCGTGTCGTACTCCCGTCATCTCCATGTCGTCCTGTGTTTCTCCGCATGTACCGCGCTCCGCCACATGCCATTGCGTGCTTCAGCAGTCGTTGCGCGTGCGTTTACGTGCCGTGCTGCCCGGATTACCCCCAAACTAAGCAGCATGACGTGAATTAAGGCGTCTGCTCTGTACCAGCCCAGCCGGCCCGGCGGCCATGTTTAGGGAAGGCACCGTCAGTCTGGTCATTCGGCACCGGGGCGTGGTGGTGGTGGGAAGGGGGGTGTAGGTGAAGGGGAAATGACCTGGTTAAAATCTATTCTCTTCTCTTCATGGAACGTAGCTCAGACCAACAGCCCAGCAGCACGTTATGGTTAAAGGCGAGCAGGTGTTGCCTACCCCGCAGGCGTTTCCCTCCCCCACTTTGTGTTGGGCGCGGGGGGGGGGGGGGGGGGGGGGGGGGGGGGGGGGGGGGTGACCCCCTCTTACCCCAGTCTGGCTTGGAATTCGAGGGTTCTTCGAGTGTGTGTGACCAGGACCAGGACCAGGCCACGGGCACGAGGCCTCCGACGGTCCTCGCGTCTCGCGGGCCTCTGCGGAGGGGAGGGTGAGGAGGGGGGAGGGGGGCTAACAGAGGGGCCTGCTCTCGCGACCTGGCAGTCAGTCTATGCCGACCCCTCCTCTCGGGTCCCGTCCCACCAGGGCTTGGCACCGAATCACCGCCCACGTTGTCCGCGTCCGCGCGCCGCGGCCGCTGTGGCTGCGACGGGACGGGCCTTGGCCCTGCCTGCCCCGGCGCCCCCCGGCCCGGGCCGCACTGCCCCGGGTGATTCGTCTCGGCCTTGCGGCCCGTCGGCACGGTGTCGCGTCAATTCGCGCATAGCGCCGCTTCGTGGCGTCGCGGCGGCGCCTGCAGCTCTGTAGCAGCGCAGCCATGCCCGACCGAGGCCGCCCGGGCCGGCGCCAGAGCAGCGGGCCGGGGGCTGGGCCCGGGGCTGGGGCCGGGGCTGGTCCTTCCCCCGGGCAGGGGCAGCAGGGCGGCGCGGCAAGGGCCGGCTCCATGTCGGGCCGGAGCAGGACCCGGTCGCAGACCAACCCGTAAGTGTCGAGAGGGGGTGTTGATGTTGACTCGGGGGAGTGGCCGGCCGGCTGGCCGGTCGGTCGGGCTGTGTGGGGTGGGCACTTGTTGGTTGACTCAGAAGTAAGGCCCAGGGAAGGGTGGTGCGGTTGGCTGGGGTGCGTCATGTAGATTCGCCAGTCAAAAGTGCTGTTGAGGTTGTGATGTGAAGTCCCATCGGGTTGTCGCGTGTAAATCTGCGTCGAGGAAGGTATTTTCCCTATTTGAAAGAAAATTGGTAGTTTTTATGATGCAGTTCAGCAACGATGCTGGTGTTTTTCTTGCTGCATGGCGTATTTTGCTGGACACCCATGCGGTTGAAGCTTTTAATTAGTTTTCAATTTGCCTTAATTATTTATTAGCAACCTTTCTTCTTCTTTTTTTTTATTTTAATAAAGTTGCTGTCACTGCCTGTTTGGTTGTTTTTGTATTTTTTATTATCAGCTGGGTCATGCCAAGTCAGTAATTGTTTGAGTAGCCTCGTATTAATTGTGTATAACTATCCATATAACATCATCATATCTTCAATCCCTTTAGGGAGCACCATCAATTTTAAAATATCAGGAGGTTTATTGTTTTTATTGTAATTTTTGTTTGTTTTTTATTTTTACTCTTGTGTTTTCCTTTCCTGTCCAACCTTTACTGATTGAGTACATCATATTTTGTGCAGTGATTTCCCGCTCGACACTATGAACGCAGCTGAGGAGGTAACTATTCGCTTTTTAACTATTCCTTGTAGGATGAAATGTCTTCCCAGCTGTCTATTTCTTATTCTTATATACATATTGGGCTTAATTGCAATGGGTGAATTTTCATTACATGTGTGCCATTTTATTGATAAAGCAACAAGTTTAACTATGCCCGTATGTGTAAATATTTGGGCCATATTACTAAAATGTCAGGTATTCTTACTACGGTAATACCATTTTCAAACGTAATTAGTGAATGAAAGTGGAAAATCAGACTCCCATTGTGACTTTAGAATCATTCTTCTTCTCTCCCTTACAGATTGTAGTTCAGTAAGCATCTAAAAAAATGGCTTCTATGCTTTGTTGTGCTATTTTTTTCGTTTTAACCGAGTGTATTCTAATGACAGTCATTCAACCTGACCCCTATAACATTTTCAAGCTTTTATTTTTTATATTTATTTTAATTTATTTTTCTGCATTTGGTGAACTACTGATTGGTATCCTACTTACTATGCATAGCTTTCTGTTGTGAGACTTGCTTGAAGTGGGAGAGGTGATGGTGTTGGTTGACATACTGAGTGATATTTGATCGTATTCCGGGGTGTGGGAGTGGGGGGACAAAATAATTTGCAATTTTTTTCTTTTTGTTCATGTATTTATGTATTTCAAATTTTCAGCAAAATATCCCTTTTCTTTTATTGTTCTCTAGATTACAATCTAACATTTAACTATTTGACTGCAATTTCTTTACTGTGCATTCCCAAATTAAAAATTGGCCTGTTGCATGTTGGGTGTGCACCATCTAAGTGTGCACTGTTTTGAGCAAAGTTAATGTCATGGATATTGGTTACCTTCAATTAAATAAAATGAATGACTTATGTGCTCGCAGGGAAGAATGTCGCAGTCTGGAGATGGACTGCATACACCAGGGTTTCTCTCTTGGCGGAAGCTTCAGCTTTCCCGAGCTAAACTTAAGGCTTCCAGCAAAACCTCGGCTCTTTTGTCAGGTTTTGCCATGGTAAGTTTTGAAATAATATGTTGGAATCCTTAGTTTTTTGTTTTTGTGTTCAAAATAAAATGGTACCTGTCTCTTGTCTTCTTTAAAGGTTGCTATGGTTGAAGTGCAGCTAAGTGACAATACCAAGGTTCCACAAGAGATGCTCATTGCTTTTGCAGTGTGCACAACTCTCTTGGTTGCAGTTCATATGTTGGCATTAATGATTAGCACCTGCATACTCCCTAATATAGATGCTGTGTGTAACATGCATTCAATTAGTTTAGTTCATGAATCCCCTCATGAAAGACTTCACTGGTAAGAAAAGTTTATTTCCTCTGTTTGATTCTTATATACCAAGACATGCATCCTATAACCATCTGTTTTCTTTCCTCTAGGTATATTGAGACAGCCTGGGCCTTTTCTACTCTTTTAGGGCTACTACTGTTTCTGTGTGAAATAGCTATTCTTTGTTGGGTTAAATTTTATGACTTTTCTCAAATTGCAGCATGGTCTGCCTGTATTTTACTTATCCCTGTTCTTATAATTTTTATGGCCTTTGCTTTTCACTTTTATCGATCTCTTGTTAGTCACAAGTATGAAGTGACAGCCTCAGGAATAAGAGAGTTAGAACTGTTAAAAGAACAAATTGAAGCAGGGGACCTTGAGGGTAGAGCCAATGGCATCAGCTTACTGAACTCAACCCAAGTTGTGTGACTTTCTTTTCTGCTGCTTCTTGTGTTTTAAGACTCGATTACAGAAAACTGTCGCTGAAGTGTTGAATAGGGGTTGCTCTTTCATCACAGGCTCATTGGGAAAGAAAGGTTCTTCTCAAAGTTTAGGAAAAGTACTTACAGATTTTTATTGTGTTCACCTAAACCATATATCCCTTTACTCTCAAATTCAGAAATGTGAGTTGATACATTTGAAATGGAACTTTCATTCAGTTGGACTGAGGCATGCATTCCAATTGTTCATGATTTTTAAAGAAAATGTTGTGGTACTTTAAGTGTCAAAATTCTGTGTGTGAGACGTATTGAAGGTATTGTTACCTTTTGCAATCGGTTAAGAAATTGTTTTTTGTTGTTATTGTATTTTTTTTTTATTACTTATTAAATTTATCAAATTGAATGTATTGACCTCTCATATTAAATATGCTTGTGTATTTCTGTTCTATTTTTGTGCACGTTTGATTGTGTAGTAAGTTTTTTTATCTAACCTGGATATGGAAGGTTTTATTTGTGTCATAAAATAATACAGTTCAGTTAATCCTATGAGTCCTTCTAAAACCAAATCTACACTAAAGGATCAAACCTGTATATTACAGCAACTCTTTTGTTCTTAAATGCCACACTTCTTTTTCATAGAATAGTTGTTAAATACAGATTTATTAGGAAGGCTCTTCCTTCCCATAATCTTTATCTTGCTTTTAGAAGTGTTTTTGAGTATTCAAAAGGCCCCCTCTCTTTGTACTGATGTCTTAACATGATATTTCTTATGTTGAATCGTTCTCTGTTGTTGCTCTCTTCATGTCCTTCTCTGACCACCTTCAAGCCCTTATCTACATGTTAAGTATTTTAATTTTTAGTCTCTAAGTTTAAGATGATTTTTAATGCATTGTAGATGCTTCTTTGACCACCCTCCTTAAGCCAAAACATGAGTAGGATGATTTTTTTTAAATTTGTGTATGTATTCACCTATGTTGGTAGTCTTCCCTCCACCCAGCATGGTGGTACATGTTTGTTATTCTTGCTCAGAAAGACATTAGTTAATTATGTTGAAGATTATCAAATCTTCACTAAGATCTTAGTACATAATAATTCTTTCATTTCCCCATATTTTTTTGTTTTGTTTTGTCTGTAAATTTGTGACGTACTTGAAACTACAATTACTTTAGCATTTACTAGAGAATCTCATATTTATATTGGTCTTTCTTTAGTGTTTCGTTTTTCTTTTGCGTTTGTGGGTTTTCACTCTGCTTGCTTTCTAGTTTTAAAAAGCAATGAAGTTGACTAGAAAAAAATTGCACTGCATATATTTAAACGCATAGGGTAAAGTGCCTCATGTGGCAACTGCAGCTGCCCAGTGATGACCATTTGTCTGGAATCACAATGTCACGGTTTACTTTCAGATTTGAGCTTTGTGTTGCAACAGGTAGAGCTCTCGATTTTTTGTGCCCCCCTACTACTCCTGGCTGTTTTCTTTGCTTTAAAAAAAAAAGAGGTGGCTAGCAATTGGTAGGCCTATCTCTGAAAATGGCCATCATTGGGTTGCTTTCCCTAGTTGATGTCTACTTGCTGTTTATTTTTATTGATTTATAAAATCAATGCTCAAAATCAGTTGGTGTTTGGTAAAAGTCATTTTGTTGTTTTTGTTTTGTATTTTTAAGTTCCTGCTCTACAAACTTATTTGAAATTGTTAAATTTAATATACAAAATAGGAGAGTAAGTTTGTTTTTCAGGGTAGACTGTTGTATTTGTCTTCCCTAGAACTGAGTTGTGTAAACCCATTCCTGCATTCCTGTGGTATGCTTTGATTTAAACAACACAAGAGTAGTGTTTCCTAACTTACTATCTATATTTAACCCAGAATTGAGCAATCATGACTAATTGATAGTGCTTGCTAATTTCTTCATGTTTGGGACTGTGATTGATGATTGACGTGTTATTACTTGAGATTTTTTTTTAACTTTATGTTTTTATGATGAGAGATATGGATAGCATGATATTGTGTTGAACTTTACAAATATTTTTTTTGATGGCCAGAGTCATTTGACCCTTTGAAAAGTGAAAAAGAAAATTGTCTTGTGGAATTCTAAATTAAATCATGTCATTGTGGCAGAACACTTTTGACTGTTTTATTTTGTTTCTTTCAATTGTGTTTGGTGTTTCATTTTGGTACAATTATTCACTTTACTTTTCTTTACGATCAATGGTGCTCTCTTGGTAGTGGATCTATGAGTACAAATGTATCCCATTATTTTCTGGTGAAGGCTGTCGTTTGCCTTTCTAATACAGGAAAATGTAAATGATTATTACTAAAAGTATCGTTTCTTTAAATCTTTTGTACTTAAGATTTAACATTTTCAACTTGCCATTATATTTTCACTCCATAAGTCGTCTCTTTAATGTAAGGTAACATTGGATTGTTGTTTGTTTTTTTAAAAGAAAAGCTAGTTTGTTCTACCAGTATTAAAAAAGTGTCATGTTTCTACTTAATAGTTTGGGGTGACGGAAGAGGTTCTCCTTTGCAGAGCTACCAAAAACCTTGTTTGATTGTAATATCAATGTACAATTTGAAGTTTTGAATGTGATTGAATTTATCCATCTTCTTACATCACCTACCACCATCTAACTTTGCCGCATGACTAATTTTGTATGTGATGCCAAAAAGTTCAAACATTTTACGTAATTTTGCAATGAGTTTATTTAATTACAAATTTCTGTAACTTAGAGAGTTTATCTAGTTCTCTTCAACCTGTACCAGATACCTTTAAGTAATTAAGATTCATGAAGGTATACACATCTTTGCCTTGGTTCATTGTTACGTACTCTGTTTGGTATTCTAACTTCCTTCCATCAGGAAAAATCTGTTTTAAGGACTCAAATATATTCTGTGATTGGCAACAATAAATAAATAATGATGTTCTTTAAAATTTGGTGTGCTGTTATCCTACATCCGCTCGCGTGTCACGTAGTTGATCCGTTGTTCTGTGCACTTTTGGAACGAATTTTCTGCAGGGCTCCCTTTTGGCTTTCCTCTGCCACAGCATCGGGGTTGAGCAGCTCATTCTGCAGCAGCATAAGCGGGTAAATTCAAGAATGTTGGGTTTGAATGGCGGTATGGGCCCTCATATTTTAGACGAAAATAACTTACCGGTGGAAGAGTCTTTGTGGATGCGGCGGGGGATGAGGGCTGCATTGTACTCGACACACAAACGTCCTCGTCCCAGACGCCTTCCTGCACGTGTCCGCTGTCCTTATGGTAGTAGCACCCCCGCCCGTGCTTTAGCCCGCCGTGGAACTCGCCGTCGAAGCAGTTCCCGTTTGCTGAGGAAAGCAGTCGCACCATTGTTACTCACTGCCACTGGCACTTCCCTGCAGATAGATGCGTTCCAAATCGCCTAGGTTTTACGTTGTACGAGAATGCCATGTCCGTGGAACTTGTCGTCCATCCACTCGCCGTGGTAGAATGCGCCGTCGGGCAGCCACACGCGGCCTTCCCCGGCGCGCCGGCCGGCCTGCCAGCACCCCTCGTACCAGGTGCCGTCCGCGCCCCGCCCGATGCCCCAGCCCTGCGAGCGAGCAGGATGTCGAGACTGCGTAAACACCTCACCGTTGGGTGCCTCTAAGGTACCTCTCGCGACACCTACGTGACGTTTCCCGCGCTGCCACTCGCCGCTATACACGAGCCTCAGTGAGCCGTCTTCCATCTGCTTGCTGAGCACCCCATGTCCGTGTCGAAGTTCGTCGGAAAAGTCTCCCTCGTACAAGTACCCGTTTCGAGTTAACTCAGCCCCTTTGCCTGGTTGAGCGCAAACATGTAATGCACCTTTATTAAATGATGGGTGCACGATACAGCTTAGCGTGCTCTGAAGTATAGTGGGCTGCCTATCTAGCAGGCGTTCGACTTGGCTCACCTTCCTTGCGGTTGTTCAACCAATCACCGACGTGTCTATCACCGTTCAGGAAATAAACAGTGTGCCTTGAACCGGATTTGTATGTTATCTGTTCCTTTCGTTTCCATTCGGGGCAAGCTTTGAATTTTTTCAGAAACGGCATTTTGTTGTCTGCGGGGCCTATCGGTTCCCATGGAGAGAAAAAAGAGCATCACAAATTTTTCATCTTTTCTTGTTTTTGTTTGCTGTTTTGTTGTTATTATTGATGTTTGATTCAAGTCAAGAAAGCAGGCATCAAATGTAAACTTGGGGTTTAAGCATTTATGCTGCATTGTTCTACCATCTTGCTGAAAAAATTATATCTGTAAGTGCCTTTCGTACGCCTTTAAGTGACACGTTTAAATATGTTTTGTCCTGGCCTTAGTTTTCTATATTTTTTTACCTCAGGTGTCACTATGGGGGAAAGTCCCGGGAGTCCTGCTGATCTAAATGCTCAAGAAGACGGCGAATTGTCCAACGACACCGATTTCAGTGATTTATTTGTGATTGACAGCACACCTGCGGTAGTCAAAAGCAATCTGGACACTCCTGCTTACGATACGGTGAGCAATTCTTTCATTCATCCTGGTACATTGTTTTGATTGATAGGTTATGGTTTTCTTTTGCCACTCCTACTGTACTATTGTAAATTGGCATCATGCCTTATAATGTCTTTTTTTATTCATAAATGCTCTATTTCTTGTGTTTTTATACTACATTACCTGTATTACAGAAATTCAGTGAAGTTTTGCAAGTGCAAAAGAAAGAAGATGTTGATACTAAGCCCAAACGACCCAAACCCCCTCAAAATTCATGCTGGAACTGTAATGGAGAGCATTCTCTTCGCGAGTGTAAAGCACCAAGAGATCACGAAGCTATTAATCGGAACCGATTAATATTTCAGAGCAAACAGGGACCCCGACCTAAAGCAAGGTACAAATTTCTGTCTTTGTTGAACTAATTACATCCAAAGCTAGTACTTAACTGAATATTCTATGTCTTATTTTCAGTCGTTATCATTTGGATTCGGATCAGAAATATCCACATATAGTAGCTGGTAGAATAAGTAAAAAATTGTATAGGGCACTTGGTTTACAGAGAAATCAGTTGCCTCGTCACATTTACCGCATGAGAACTCTTGGGTACCCTCCAGGTTGGGTTGAAGAAGCCAGAGTAACTCATTCTGGTCTGACTCTCTTTGATTCGCAAGGTCAAGGTAAGTGTTGTTCAAAGTCTAAAATTCATAACTTAATTTACAACTTCTACATTTTTTTATTTTTTTTTATTTTATAGAAGTGGCAGAGTCAGGGTTTGAATCTGGGGAAATTGTATCTGAGGGAGCCAAAGATAAATTCGATTTTAAGAAAATTATTGAATACCCTGGGTTTAACTGTCCTTGCGGTCCAGACACCATCGATGTAAGTATTGCTTGCTTATAGGGATAAGTCCTCTACTAATATAATCTGTTTCTTCTGTTTATCCCGCATTTCTTGTATTTGATTTTGTCTATAATAGTTCTGTACTCTTCATTTGCAGGAAACTGAGAGGTTGAACAGTAAACCAATGGCTGAACGAGATAGTATTAAATTTATGAAAACCATGTGGCAAGGCAAAGCTGTAAAAGCTTACAAGAGGAGGAAAATGAACACCTCTGATACTTCTGGGACCCCTGATAAAAAGGGCTCTCTCCTTCTTCTTGACGATATGGAGTTAGATTCAGAAGGTATGGTTGTTAGATTTTAACTGAGTTTTGTCTTTCTTATTTCCCTACTAATTACATTTCAAATTTCTTCCATTATTTGCAGATGCTGCTTCATCTGATGATGGTACGATTTTATTTAGCTTTTATTCTTACTGCCTTTATGATGAGCATTGTCTTTTCTTAACATTACCTCTCTTATAAATTCATTGTTTTTCAGATGGTGAAGTAAAGGACACTAGAGCAGAATCTCCTGGTCCATCTACATTATTACAGGGTGAAGAAATGGACAACAATACTGCTGAGGAAGGCTCAAGTCCATCTACACCATTAAAAGTACTAATATTTTTCCTCCTTCAGTAAATGAAAGCTTAGTTAGATTTCTATACCTTATCATACCTAATCTAATTTTTCAGGCTGTTAAAAGACCCATGCCCGGTTCACCCAAATCTTCAGATTCTAAGAGGCCAAAACTTGATGATGAAACTCCTGCAAACAGTTTAAGCGGTCAAAATCTAAGTTTGTTAAATGAGGGCTCTGCACCATCTACACCAGTTGCTGAACGAAAAACTGATAGCTCATCTACTCCAAGCACTCCTAATTTGGGTAGTGTCACATCTGTCTCATTGGGCACACCTATTCTCGTCAGCTCTCCATTCCTATGTTTACCTTCAGCTGACAAATTTGCAAAGAACATTTGTGATGTTATCAACTTTGAAAATTTACCTGATTCAACTGGAAAGTATGAAACAATGTCAGGACTCATTAAAAAGGTAAGAAAATTTGTGTCAAAGCACAATTCTGAAGAAGATGAATGAATGACTTTCATATGAAGTCTTTTTCTCAAAGTTGATTACCACATTTTTATTTTTATTCATTGACTGGCAATACTGTGCAAGTTACTGTGCTATTTAAGAAAATTTATTTGTTTGTTTTACATATTACAATAAACTTTAAATACAATCAGCACAAGTTGTTGAATTTACTTTGGAATTTACTCTTCCAAACATTTTCCATGTTTTATAATTTCATCCAAATATTTTGGAGATAAATATAAGATTGAAAAAATAGAATAGGGTATTTCTTAACAGAATCAGCTCTAAACAATTAAAACCGGCCACTACGTTTCCGCCCAGTATATTTGGTGTCTGCTCGAGTATTCCTTCCTTGTCTTCTTCTCCTTTCTTTCTTTTCTAAAATCCATTCCCTAGAGTTTTTCAATGACTTTCCTTTAGAGCCCCGAGCTCTATCCAATTCCCTAAGGAATTACAAGAAATTTAAGTAGAACACATTTGTGTAAAAGTTTAATTACAGATATTGTTTAAACTCACTCACCTCTTTTTACTGTATGCCACTGAGCTAGACTCTCCATCAGTACCAAGGGCTTTGGGTAATGGCATGTTACCACCTGTCATCAAAACAAGGAAGAATTTTTTGGCCTTTGTACTGTTTGGATAGTCCACAACAACACCACCATAAAAACCAGCTTTCATAGCCTGTGATGTTATTAATTCAACTTGGTTTGAATTTTCTGGATAGAATTGAAATACAGCTCGACCTGTACGACTCTGAAATTAATCGGACACAAAATGGTTAACCAGCTTCAAACAAAATATAAGTTGCACGATTATGAAAAGATGAGCTAAGCTGTCTTACCAAGCATGCATTTAGGGTACTGAAAAATTTGTACAGCCGTTTTACGGGGTTGTGGTGTGTCTTATCAGCATTACAAAGCCATTGGAGAGCACTTATACTGATGGCCCCATCAAATGTGCCAGCTCTGAACGGCATCCCCTCTCCCATGTCACCAAGAATAAGATCTCCTTCAACTTCTCGATCTTGAGCTACATCTGTAAAATGAGTAACGGATGTAAAGGAGCTTCAGAAACCTTCATAAGGAAATTAGCTTTAACAATAGTTTGTATAACTAATACTTGCCAAGCATTGCTGAAGAGATATCAACACCAACCCAAAAGTGCCCTTGCTCGTCGAGAACAGATCCACTAAGGCCTGACCCGCAACCAATATCCAGAACGTAACAGGGTTCATCTTCTGGAAGCGTAAGAAGTTCTAGGGCACGCTCACTCATCTGCTCTTGAATTTCAATTATTCGTGAACTGCAAAATACATTGTTTGTCAAAAAAGAGGTCTCAATGACAAATGTGTACGACAGAGGGTGAATGTTTTGACATGTATCTTAACCTACTTTTGTGAATACTTTTTGGCTTCAGTATCATTATAAAACTGAAAATTAGAATCAATGGATTAAAGTCAGGTGGAGACATTATAACCTCACACTACACGCGGTTCACAACAAAGGAGGTTGAACGTTTGAAATAAGACACTGACCACTTCAGGAGGTGCCAAATGTTCAGGTCGCCTGACAGACGTCATTTTTTGAGAGTGCAAATTTTAAATAGAACGATGATAAACACAAAGGTTACAACAGATTGACGTGCTGGACGGACGATCGACGTCTAGGATTTTTTTTGTGTTTTTTTTCCTAACCGAGACAGAAACAGGATGAGAAACATAAGGGAACATTAGGTCGTCATGTAGAATATGAGAATGTCTTCATTGGCGCCCATTGGCGCCACCTGCTCGAATGAGTGCGGCAGGCGTGTACTTGGTGTATTCTTGTGTATTCATTAGTGTAGAAATCGTAGAAATGTTATACGATAATTTAGCGAGGCTGAATGAACGTCTGAATCAATTGATTTAAAACCAGGAGTTCAGCCAAAAATATGAGGACATGTTACAGGTACGGGCAAGTTTTATTCGTAATGAAACGATAACTCGTGCGACACAGGCAATGGTTTATATATACACATGACAAAATGACAAAATACTGTATTCTCCTGAGAGGTGATAAAATCTAACTTCACATATCAATTAATCACTGTAAGTATCTAACTAAAAATCAGAGGACTATCTCTGATCAACTTATGATCGAAATGTGCTTACAACTATCATTTGTACTTAATCCACTCCACCAAAAGCAGCTTACGGTATCATTAATTTCACTTCTTAACTTAAATGAAATTCATCGCTCTCCGCCACAGATGTCCTCACTTCTGGACGCCGCCCGGCGAGCCTTCCACCCAAGACAATCCCCGGCGGTCTTCCCTACGGCCTTGGGACGACCTTGAAGCGGGCGGTGCGGCGGCACCTGCGCGCTACGCCCGGCGCCGGGCGGCGGCGACTCTCAAATGACTAGCATAACCAGGCAAGCCTATCTGATTATTGGCTCTGGCCCAAATTAAAACGACAGCGGTCCTTGTCCGCGGGATGACGTCCCTCCCCTCCTGGACTGGGGCGCGCGCGGACGGGCTGCGGGCGCGCCTACCGACAGCCGCAGCGGTCGGCGCTCAGGTCGTAGCTCGTGAACAGGTCGATGCTGCCGTCGTTCTGCCTCATCAGGAGCGCGATGGGCTTGAAGCGGATGGGGACGCACTGCGCGGCCGGGATGTTAGCGCCATCGTCCGCACTGGTGCCGGCGCTGGCCTTCGCAGCCCTGGAAGCAGAACGGCAGCGTGAGCGGGTCGTACACACACACAGGCGCGCGCGAGAGAGGCGTGAAGAGGTATTCCACAGAAAAGATCTGTTTCCTCCTGCGCGCTCATTGGCTGACCACGTCACTGACGTCAGACTTGACCAATCAGCGGTATGAAGGAAACAGACGCTATGCGGCCTCCTTTCACCGAAATGTCCAATAGCACAACCAGGTCAAAATTTTGAATTCAGAACCAACTGGTCGATTTGGACGTCGTCGTCGTCCCGGTGCCATGTCGCGATGGCTCACTGACCTGTGCAGCTTGATGTACGTCCTGGCGATGGCGTTCATGCTGGCGTTGTAGCGCTTCTCGCCGAGCGCCGACGGCGGGCAGCGGCCCGCACAGAAGTTGATGTTGAAGGTGAGCGGCGCCACGATGAAGGGCCAGCCCAGGTCCTCCAGCGACACGGTCCACGACTCCAGGTGGCAGAAGGCGTCGCCGTCGGCCGCGTCCTGCTCGCCGCCGTCCCGATGGATGTCCGACCGGGCCGCACCTGGGGAGATAGGCGGGGCGGCACCGTGAGACCCGTGGTCATGCCATGTCGTCGTCCAGCCCACAGGCACACAGGCCCAGGCAGCAGGCGCAGCCGTTTGACACTCACTCTGCAGCGGGTTCTCGGCCGAGGTGAAGGCGGGCCCCTCCGTGGTGGTGGCGCTCTTGCGGTGGGAGCGCCGCCGGGTGCGCACGCGCGGGGGGTGCATCAGGTCCTCGGGCACGTCGCTCCAGACCCGCATCCCGGAGCCGCCTGTCGCAGGTGCAAAGCGGGGCAGTCAGACACCTGTCGCCTCGCCCCTCTCTCTCTCTCTCTTTCTCTCTCTCTCTCGCAGGCGCAACCCCCACACCAAGTGTTCGAGATAAGCCCAAGGCCGCCGATCACGCCACCCTCCCCCTCCCCGACGGGCTGCTAGTAGTCCGGGACAGAGTGAGTATAATGGTTCCAAGAGTGGGTGCGAGGGAGAGGGAGAGAAAGAGAGAGATGGGCCAAGCCCCCTATCTCTCTCTTCCTGATTTGCTGACTTCAATAACGCTTTACACGTCGCAGCTTAGCTGTAAATAGCATATGTCACTCTGCGTGCTGAGCGCTCATGCCGGGGAGCGGTCTCCGCCAGGTAACCGACCCACTCTTCGCGGGCGCGCCGCCACTCGAGACTCGAGGGGCCGGCCGTTTCCCTCTCGGCGACACATTCTTAGGGGTTCGTATCATCGGTGACTACATACCTTGTGAAGTGGCGTCCTCCCCCCAGTCGAGCGCGCGGACGAGCAGCGGCCCGCGCTCCCAGCCCGCCACCTCCAGCGTGGTGGCGGCGCTCGCCGCGCCCGCGGCGGTCCTCGGCGACGTCACGTCCACCACGAGCCGCGGCCAGGAGCCCCCCAGCTCGAGCATCTGCAAAGACAAGGCGGGTGAACACCTGGAGTAGCGTGGCAGACACTCCATCAGCCGGCGGCAGGGCAGGCGGGGCCGGACCGGCCGGCTCTGGCTGAAAGCCCCCCGACGGCCGCCAGTTATGCTGTACCGCCAAGCACGTATGCGGGCGGGTTGCCTCCTCGCTCGGGCCGTAAGGCGCCATAGTCATGAACGGCTCACACAGCCCGCCCACAACGCCTGCATGCGACGCAGTACAAATACATCACCCGACGAGTTTTTCCAGCCACCTGATATTTCATGATTTTGGTCGCATTTAAGGCCAGACTCTCGTCCAGAAAACCAGACACTTTGACGCTGATTCGATCTTTTTATGGTGACGAGGGTCGAGCAGCTCCGCCACAGGTTACGAACACAGCAGGAGCGTAAGGTGGCACAGGTTTAATTTATTAATGCCCCGCCGAGGGGTGCCCAACTGAGGTAATCAGGTGTACACAGAGTAGGTAATCCCTGGTAATCACCGGTAATCATTGGTAATCGCCGGTAATCATTGGTAATCGCCGGTAATCCTTGGTAATCACCGGTAATCCTCGGTAATCGCCGGTAATCCATGGTAATCGCCGGTAATCCATGGTAATCACTAGGTAATCCATGGTAATCACTAGGTAATCGTTGGTAATCACCAGGTAATCGTTGGTAATCACCAGGTAATCTTTGGTAATCACTTAGTAATCCAGCAAGGAAATTCCTAGAAATCTTTGGTAATCACTGGTAATCTTTGGTAATCACTGGTAATCCTTGGGAATCGCTGGTATTCTTTGGGAATCACTGGTAATCTGTGGTAATCAATGGCAATCTTTCGTAATCTCTGGTAATCTTTTGTCAGCAGTAATCTTCGGAAACCCTTGGTAATCATGGGTAATCTTCGGTAATCTTCGGTAGTCTCTGGTAATCCCTGGTAATCTTCACTTTTTGGTAATCAGGTGTACACGATTTTTTCGAGTTGGGCACCCCTCGTGCCCCGCCTCTCTCCCGGGCCGCTCACGTCAGGAGAGTGGCGTGATGCGGAGGGAGTGGGGCACATCGCCTGCTCGCACACACCGGTTCACTTACCCTCCGAGTGACGTGCGTGAACCCGTATTGAGGCACGTGGCGTCATGTCCTTTTTTACTTAATCTTTCGCGCGTTTCTCCCATGACGACAACGGTCGAACGAGATGCGACAAAAAAAAACAGACCGCTTGCGAATCCAATAAAATAGATTTGAGCCAGTTTTGCCGATCAGGCCGATGACGTAGGGCGCTCATGATTGTTTGTTTGTTTATTTTCTGTCGCCGCGCACGGAGTCGCTCTGCTTGGCCCAGTCCACGGCTTGTGTTTAACTCACCGCTTTGGTGACGTCGACGGCGAGGAAGGTGGCGTTGGGTAGCGGGTGCGCGGCGAGGAGCTTGAGGTCCTGGGCGTCGCTCAGGTACACGGACACGGTGGCTTCGAAGAGGTCGGCGGCGCCCGGCTGCGTGGACAGCACGAGCCACCACCCGCCGTCGCCACTGCCACCGCTGTCCTTGGGGAACTCCACGACCATGGCGCCGGCGCGGCCTGTGGGTCATAGGGAGGCTGGTCAGCACCACCACGACGACGAGAAGGTCGGAGGCCCTCGGGGAACAGCTTCCCTCCGTACTCACCAACGGTCACCCTGGAAGGCTGCACGCAGCTCGCGAGCGTCTTGTTCCTGCTGGAGCCCGGAACAGGCGCCGCCGCCACCGGCTGGCTGAACTCGCTGAAGATGGCGCCCATCTCCGTGTCGCGCAGGAGGAGCTTCATGAACAGCGGCACGCCGTCGTCCACGTCGTTGGCCGCGGGGCCCCAGGCGGCGTCGTTCAGATCGGCGGCCTTGACGGCCTCCAGGAGGGCGTCCACGGCCACGGCCTCCGCGTTAATGGGCGGCGGGGAGGATGCATGCTCCGGGGACACGGTGGACTCCGGGGACATCGGGTGGTGGTGGCCGTGGTGTCGTAGGTGGTGGGGATGGGGGTGCCGGTGGTGGACGGCGAAACCTGTCACGTGAGGAGTGAAGAGGGGTAAGTCCAAGCCCCGAGCAGTTGGCACCGCCTCGCTCTCACAGCTTAGCTTGAGATGCGGCCGTCAGCACCAGGAGTTCTTTAACCTCGGACGGGACCAGGCCCTTTCTCAATGCAGCATGGTAAAAACAAAGTGTGATTTTTAATTGTGATTCTAAGCACTCTGAAGGAATAAGTAAAATTTTGATAAACTTCCCCGACTTTGAAACAATTTATTTATAAAGAAAAGAATCTATTTGAGTTTATCAGGTGCCTTGTAATTAAGAGAACCCCCACGAAACTAGGGAATGATGCATTATTTTGCAAGAAGGCTTCACGTCCAGCTCGAAGAAAAACAAATCCTAACGTGAGACGTTGTATTGGAGGAGAGAAGCCGTAAATGCTGGGGCACGATGAAAGACAAATATTGGCAACAAAGTATCATCTCGCCGATGCACGGTTGTGCAGCAGTCACGGGCGATGCGACACGCCGAGAGTCACTAATAGACTGTTTATTCATGAGTCGTATCCGTGGGGAAGGTCGGGAAACACTTTGATTCACTACTCGCCATTGACAACACGGTGTGCTGACAACATTTTTTTTCAGCTTGGCATCATTATTATTTTTCTTTAGTTTTGCTGCGCTTGCGATATACGTCAGTACGTTTAAGCTGTATCGATATACAGGCGCCGGTGCGTCACTTACGCGCAACTCCGCCTATGTCGCAGCACTTAATACGCGCGTACACAGTTGCCTTAACTAATTAGTATCCCGGAATATCTCGGAGAAGTGAACGACGTCTTCTTCCTCTCGGCCTTGCACCGGCCGCATGCACCTCGAAAAGTGCAGGTGTACGAGCAAAAAAGTGATGCGTTCGCAACTGCGTCGGGGCGCGAGGCGTCGAACTCTGAATCCAGGCCGCTGACGCCGCATATTTCTTCTTTTCTTTCGCGGTGAAAACGCGCTGTTGGCAAGGCAGACTCTCCGGGCACACGGCGCTTACCTGAGCCGCTGGGAGCGAGCAGCAGCAGGAGCAGCAGGAGCACAGGCGCGCACTCGAGCAGGTGCGCGAGCATGCTGGCCGACCGGCTCCGGCGGGAGGGGAGGCACGTCGTCGTCATCCTGGCGGTGTCCTCCAGCCCGGCTTGCTGACTGCGCAGTGAGGTACTCCACGGGGGCGACGGTGTCGGAGGCGCACAGGTGCGGGAGCGACAGGTGGCAGCTGGCGCGAGAGCGAGCAGCTGTGGTAAGCGCCACTGGGACTAAACACGACTAAACGCGGCCGACTTATGCCGTCGGTGCTCCGCGGAGAGGCCGGTGAGAGAAGGGACGCTGAGATAAGCCTCGATACGACCAAAAACAAACGCGTACTGGGCGTCGCGGCGCGCGCCGACACCTCTTGATGATTTGACGGAACCGGCCACAGCGCGGGCCCGCGGAGGGCCCCCCGTCCCGCCTCGCCCGGCCGCCGGTCACGCCGCCATCCCCCTCCACGCCAGCCCCCGTCCCGCCTCGCCCCGCCTCGCCCCGCCCTGCCCCGCCCCGATCGCGCTGCGTCGCGCCCCGCACCAGCGCCGCACTTGCGCCGGCGTCCACGCACAGCCCCGCCGCCGGGAGCACCCCGCCCTGCCCGCCGCACACCCCTTCCCCGTCGAACACCCGCTCGCCACGGTCACAGCCACCAAAATAAAACTGCACTTTGGATTGAGCGGGCGGACGCTCCGGTCCGCCGTTGCCAGACCGCGGCGGCCTCGGGGTGCGACCCCCGCGACCTGTGGCGTCCCCTGGCCAGGACAGTCCTGGAGGTCCTTATCAGCACCGGCCCGCCCGGCTCCCCTCCCCAGACGCGAGCGGGGTGCGCCGCGCCGTCGTGCCGCGGTGCAGAGCGCCGCCGGTGGGACCTTCAGCTTCAGCCGCTGCGGCCGCCGCCACGCCACCGCCCGGGGAGTAAACACCCCCC